AAAGCCGGGTCGGGGGGGCAGTTTGGGAGCGGGGGCTCCTTTGGAAGGCTCCGGCCGAGGTGCACGCGGGGCTGTGGGGTGAGGCAGCCCCGTGTCCCCGCCCGGGTAACTCCGTGTGTGTCCGCAGGCTGCGACAGCGAGCACTGGGGTCCCCACTGCAGCAACCGGTGCCAGTGCCAGAACGAAGCGCTCTGTAACCCCATCACGGGAGCCTGCGTGTGCGCCGACGGCTTCCGCGGCTGGCGCTGCGAGGAGCTCTGCGAGCCGGGCACCTACGGCAAGGGCTGCCACTTCCAGTGCCAGTGCCACCACGGGGCCACCTGCGACCACCAGACGGGCGAGTGCCACTGCGCGCCCGGATACACCGGAGTGTTGTAAGTGCAGCGGGAGCGCTCTGACAATTCCCCGAACCCATTCGGGTCGGCCGCGTTTAACGCGAAGAAATTGGCTGGATTTACACCCTGTTGTACACTGGCCTCTGTAGGAAGCAGGGAACGGGATTTTAGAGAGAACGAATAAAGGGGATCTCTGTTCTTGCTGCCGGCTATACCTGTGTCCCTGAAGGGAGCCTTGGAGAGTTTGGGTGGAACAAAGGGCGATGGCTTTAAACTGCCAAGGACAGGGTTAGATGGGATTTTGGAAAGGAATTGTTCCCTGGGAGGGTGCCAAGGCCCTGGCACAGGGTGCCCAGAGAAGCTGGGGCTGTCCCCGGATCCCTGACAGTGCCCAAGGCCAGGTTGGACAGGGCTTGGAGCAGCCTGGGACAGTGGAAGGTGTCCTGCCCATGGCAAGGAGCTGGATCTGGCTTCAAGCTCCCTTCCAACCCAAACCATTCTGGAGTTCTATGATTCCATGCTATTAAAATAAGCTTAAAAGTCGTTTATATTTTCCAACTTGTGCAACAACTTTACCTGTTCCTAATTTCAGAATGTGAATATAATCCAAATCACAGCGGAGTTTTGATAAGCAGTTGGACTCTCTCCTCATTAGCAGTCCAGTGCAGCATCAAATGGGACTTTTCCATCCCCAATTTATTTGACTTTCAATCTAACTGAGAAAGCATTGCTGTTAACTCTATCAGCTTAGTATCTAGGGGGTAAATTTTAAGCACAGAGAACAGGGATTTAGCGGTGTGACTCCTATTAACTTTAACGAGAATCATGTAGCTAAATCCCCATCCACCACACAGAAAGTTTACCAGTAGGATTCACAAAATCTGCATATTAATTTTAGGACAGCAAGCAATAGTTTCTTGTTTAAAATTGCCCACAGTGTAACATCAGTTCTCATTAGAGATCTTTCAGTAGTTTCAGAAGTAATTATGTTTTTCAGAATTATTTAAGGGGAAAAGAGAATTTAGTCACTGAATTTGGTTAGAAATCTATTGTAGGTGAGTTAATACTTTTGCAGTCTGTTATTATTTGTTGACCTGCATGAAGGGGAAGGTAAAAAATAACGACAGAGTTAACCCTCATAAATAAGTGATAGGCCTTGTGAATATTTTATTTAGTACCTGATTTCCTCCTAGACTTGTGACCTCAGTCATTGAAGCACTCGCTACTACGGACTCTGCTTACTCTTGGGAGTGCTCCCCTTGACATCAGTGTGTCAGTGCTCAGCAGGGCCAGCCCCACGTGTTGTAAGAACATCCTCATCAGAGGACAGTCAGTTAGGGGGACAACATCCTGTAGCTTCAGAACCTCCATGCTGAAAACTCTGATGTGCAGATATAGGAGACACTGGGTTTTGCAGGGATTACCCTCACATTGCCCCCCACAAGTACTGAGAGAGACTCAATGAGCTTAAATAGCCTTTAAATGATGTTGAGTCCTTGCCAGTCCATTATACACTGCAAATGTTAACATTCAGTAGTGACTGGAGAAATTTCAAGCGTTTTAATCCCATCCTTTTATTCTGTTTGCAGCTTCTTTTATTGCCATGTCATATAATTTACATTGAAGGCTTCATCCTGCAACTCATATTTTCCTGGGCTATTTTAATGGTTATGGGTTATCCTGTTGAGATGGGTGGGATTTGGTACATGCATAAAGGTTACACACATGCATCAGCCTTACAGGACTGGATCCATGGCACATAAACAACCCAGCAGAAATAAAAGGAATCTCAGCTAATTGGCAGTGCCAGCTGAGCCTTACTGAGGTCTCATCATTTGCATGAGCACTCCCATGATGACCTGTGTTGTGGGTTTTCCTGATTTACTGTTTCCTGTAAGGTCTTTGAAATGATCTCTTTGTTTTCTGTTCTCTCTCCCCAAAGCTGTGAGGAGCAGTGTCCCCCCGGCAGCCACGGAGCCCAGTGCGAGCTGCGCTGCCCCTGCCAGAACGGGGGAGTTTGTCACCACATCACTGGGGAGTGCTCCTGTCCTGCTGGATGGATGGTGGGTACTGCTCATCCTCACTCAGGCCTTGGAACTGCATGTTCATTGTTCACTGTCTCAGCCAGCCTCTAACAATTCCCAAACTGGCAATTTGCTGGGTGTGCACAGCAGCTTCACAGACAGGCCACCAGTTTGGGACCTGCCACCTTCCCTGGAAGTGTTCCAAAAACACGTGAGTGTGCTGCTTGGGGACAGGGGTTAGTGCTGGGCTTGACAGTGCAGGGGGAATGGTTGGACTTGATCATCTGAGAGGGCTTTTCCAGCCTCGGTGGTTCTGTGATTCTCTGGCTGGTAGGTGCCAGCACAGAGTTTAAAAACAGCAGCATGACACAAGAAAAGAGAGCTGTCTGTGACTTCCAGTTACTTGGAATATTCCCTGCAGCCTTAGGCAGTGCCCTCACACAGGACAGAAAGCTCAAAGCCCAGCATTGTCAGAGGCACAAAGTGTCTTGTTCCCCTTCAGAGGAGAGGGAGAATCCAGGGGGAACCCATGGCTCAGGCAGGCAGCAGAGCTGAGCCCAGGGCACAGAGGCTGGTTCAGTGTCGTGCCCTTGCTCAGGCACTGCTGCCATTGATTGCAGAGATTTGCTTGTGTCAGGGCTTGCACTGCAGAGAGACAGCTGCCCTAACCTTTCATCCTTTGTGTCAGGAAAGCAAGGCCAAGCGTTTTCAAAGTCCTCAACTTTATCAATAATGTAATAATGAACTCTCTTGGGGCGTGCCAAGTCTCACAGGCCTTCATCCCATTTAGCTGTACTAAACTTCCTGGCATTTTTCCTGTATCTGACAATTAGTCTCTTGGCAAAGTTGCTGGATTTTAAAGCATGCAAGTACTCTGAATTTTTATTTTTGCATGGAAGGCCCTGCAGATCATTACACAACTTTGACTTCTGATGAGGACCCTCTACCAGTTCTAACATACAAAAGCTGAGAGAGGGGTTTATGTTTCTTTCTATTTGTACCTCAACTGTTTTGAGTTCAAAAGCACCAGCTGTGAGTTGCTTCTGTACATCAGCAACATGGGAGAACATTGCTGTCCATAATGGTTGAAAATACCTCGAACTGGAGAGCTGGCATCTCTCTAACACCACCCATCATGGCAAGGGTGGTCATGAGGTTATTCCATTTCAAATGACAAAGACAAAACTTGTTTGAATTATGAATATGGTCCCTTGCCCTCACCTGACAATCAGTGGTGGCAAAGAAAAGGTTCTTTCCTTGAGCACTGGAGCATTAGGAAAGAAATTCACATATTTTTGAGGGCCTATCTGTCCATTCTGGCACTACCCCCTAAGAAGTGATCAATAAAGTGATTCACATAAAAATATTACTTTTTCCATCTCTCCTCCTGCATGCCAAGATTTCTCAGGATCTGAGTTGTTCTGCTGTATTCTTCCTTACTTGTATTTTACCAGGAGTTTTATCTTCTTTTTTCAAAGTTAAAACATCACTAAACAATTAAGAATATCAGAATAGAACAGGAATTGTCTTTTAGGATGCAGCACAGACCCTAAGAGGAACCAGAGCGCTGCACAGCAGCTGTGGTTATATTCTGGCCCAATCCTACCCAATTCCTTACAGCCTGGAGTTCCTTTTATGCATTTTTAGGAGCCCAGAGAGACTTTTCTGAAAACTGTGTTGTTGGCTGCTCTGTCCCTGGAGGAACCCTAGAGTTAACAATTGATGTTTGAAACAAGCATAACTGAAAATTGAAGAGAGAGATCAAGTATTCTGCAGAAAGAAACTGAAATTATAAGTAAAAGCACTCAGCTTGTAAATGTTGAGATTTTAAGTATAAAGGGTCTCTCCAGGGTTTTAATGAAAAGCTGGTAATTCAGTGTACAGAGAGGGATAAAAAGTATGTTTTCATGCTATATTTTTAACTCTTGGTGGTTGGAATGGTTTGGGAAGTGAGACATGAGGGGGCTGTAAACGAGCAGGCGAGATGGGATTGCTAGACAGCATTCATTTTATTTCACACCACGGATTTCTGTGACACCAGGAATTTTACTTGCTGATTTTGAGGCTTAAGACTGCACATATATATTGAATATACCATCATTTTGGAAGGAGAGAATTCTCCCTAGATTTATACAGGTGCAAATCCACTTGGACTTTATTGCTGCTGGATGAGCTGCAACTTTTATCAGTTCCTAGGTTGGCTTATTAAGAGGAGCTCAGCTCCCTCAGGGTTTGGTGGGATGGGGAAGGGGAGGCAGTGACTTTACAAAGAGGAAGTTCTGGGGTTCTGAGGTTCTTCCATGGATCTGCCATCTTCAAAGCCTGGTTCTTTTATGACTTGTAATTTCTTTCCTCCCACCAGCCCTGAATCTCCCAGCAGCACGGGTTCCATGGATGGTGTCCTCTGGGATTTTGCTGCCCCATGGGTTCTTCATCAGGAGGATGGTGGCCAATGGCCTCTATTGTTGAACAGTCAACAGAACGTGGCTTCCAGCATCCCATAATGTTGGGCTTTTTCCACTTCTGTGCCTTTGTGGCTGTGGAGTTTAGTGGGTGGCTGCTTTAGGGCCTCATTAACAATTTACAGGTTTAATTCTATACATCTTTCTCATTTGCAATATTAAATTCTCCAAGCGCTCTCAGGAAGTGGGGAGAGAAGTTAATTTAGCATTTACAACGCTTCTCAGAAGCCCTTTGAAGGACTAGATCTCTGCTCAGGAAAGCAGCAATATTTCCTGACGTGACAGAACATTTGTCACCAGCAACGCCCCCTGTTTGGCCCCAGACCCCCTTCCCAAGGCATCGTGATGCCGTGGAAGTACAGCACATTCTGCTCATCACTTCCCTCTTATTGATTCTGGGCATTCATTTGAAGCATCATTTGTATTTTTGTCTATTTTTCTTTCTGTTGTGGATTTTAAACGTGGGGGTGTCTGAGAAAACAGAGCAGAAAACAAATCTTTTCTGTCCTACAAAATACAGCAAACAATGTCAAAAGCAGGAGCTGATGAGATCAGGGCCTTAAAAAAGGTGCTGATGGGGTGAACTTTGCTGATTAGATGTATAAGCAGCAGGAAATGTTGGTCTGACATTTGATCCTCTAGAGAGGGATGTTTTGAATTCCCTTAGTACATATTAATGCAAAAAGTGCAGCTAAAGATTCTCTTGGCTCTGGGGGGATGCATCCCAGAGTATTGCTTTCTCATCATTTGTTGATAGAAATCCTGTTCCTTTTGAGACATGAAGGGAGAAAGTATTTATTATCAAGATAAATGGACACTTAGGTTTTCAGATATATAGTGTTGTGTATTACTCAAGTCCAGAGACACCAGTTTTTAACACTGTAATCTGAAAGTTCTTGAACTGAGGCCAACCTGTCTGTTTTACAGCCAAGGAGCCACATAGCCCTGCTTGGGAAAGGCTCAAAGTACCTATTTTATGGTGACATTGAAGAGCAGCCTCTTCACTTTGGGCTGTATCAACAGCTAAACTTCCCAAGCCCTGAGGAGTGAAAGCAGCCATTATATTCCTGGTTTATATTTTGAATAAGTTATGTCTGATATGTACTTTGTTCAAAACCCAGAGCCCCCGGGGCTTGGTTAGGGAAACAGAGAAATTAAACCCAAATAATCCTGTGGCCAGACACTCTTTCTGTCTCATGCTGGGCACTGTGGTGGCACTGGCAGCAGCACCACTTGCTGCAGATGCCAAACATTTTCCATTATAGGACCACAACTTCAGATCCCAGCACTGCCAGACTTGTTTTGGCTGAAGTTCCTCAGCTGGATGCCAGCCTCAGGCTTTATATTTGCTCACAGGGAGAAAAACATCATACAACTTCTAAGAAAGTCTGGGGAAATCCTTGTAAGGCCTTGATATTTGGCAGGGACATTATGGGATACCTGGGGGGAAAGCACCTGAGTCTGGCAAGTAAATTCTCCAAAACCCCACACAAGGGTGAGCATTCCCTGCCTTGGGAACAGCTGGAGCAGGGATTATCTGGGAGCTGCTTTACTTGTGGCCAGTGCCAGGGGGCACAGCAGGGACAGGCTGGCTTTGCTTCACTCCCAGGGCTGGTTCAGCAGGGAGAGGAAGGAGGAAACATCTCAGAGATGAGCATTTGGGTCTGGATGGAGGAGAGGATTAAAAAGGAGGCTGCAACAGGGATTTGGAATAGACTGGAATAAAGAGGCAGGAAAGGAGAGAGCTGGGAGCATAAAATGGGATATGGAGTTGAGGCAGTCAGGGGCTGAGATGTGGCTCCAAGATTGGTGATAAGGAGCTGGGAGGATGCTGTATGCTGCATCCTGTCACTGTTTAGGGGTCAGGCAGATATTCCACTGCAGAATTCCTTCTTCTGGCCAGAAGGCTGCAGCAGTGCTGATCTGGGGACTCCCATTGCTTCTGTGCCATCACTGGGGGCTAATCCATTTCTGCAGCTAATCCTCATTCTCATCCTGCCCCTCCATGGCTGTCCCAAAGCTCTGGCAGATCCATTCTGTGCTGCTTTGAGAGATGGATGTGGGGCTGGAGAGAGCAGAGGGAGCAGAGTGAAGGGTGTGAAGGGCACTAGAGGAATCTCCAGCTGCTGTGTTGGGTTGGATGAATGGGACTGGCTGAACAGGAGAATGATCACAGACCATCAAAACCAGCACAGCTACACCCTCCCAGTGCAACCTTCCCAACAACCCCTTCCTTCCCAAACCTCTGTGCAGCGTGTGGCCAACAGCTTTTCAGACTCTCCATTTCACAGAAACCCCAGGAGCACACAAACAGCTCTGTAAACTTCCCTGCTTGCCTTTAACTTCTCCCCCATCTCTGTGTGGCTGTCCAAAGGGCAGGGCAAGCCCAGCTGCAGCCTGTGGGGGAAATCCAAGGAAGAGAGTTATCCATGAGTGTACAGTGGAGAGAAAAATCCCTTCTGGAGTCAGGCCAGGCAGGCATTTACTGTGGTAGCAGAGTTTTCAGACTCTCTTTAGCACATCTTATGCAGATAAAATATTGCTGCTACACTTACATCTAGTTTTAGCAAGAAGGACAATAAAATTCCAAGCTGCATAGAGAAATTTATTGCATTATGAATGTTGACTGAAATATTGCTCTTTCTGCAACCTTACCAGGGGCTGGTGTGTGCACAGCCGTGTCCTCCTGGAACCTTTGGAATTAACTGCAGCCAGGACTGTCCATGCCACAACGGAGGACACTGTGACCCCGTGACAGGAAAATGCCTGTGTGCAGCTGGCTATATAGGAGACAGGTAAAAATCAACCCCCAAAGCCTTTCATTTTAACCACAGACTGTCAATATTTATATCCCTTCTAGGACAATCTTCCTCTCTGAAAAACGGTGTTATGTTTCTATTGCTCCAATTAGGTTCATCCTTCTGAAGCACTTCAAGCAATATAAATGTGGCAATGTTATTACTTTTTATTGGCAATGCTCTCCATTTACAGGGGTTTTTAATATAACTTTTAAAATTTAATGGATTAAATTTAATTTAGATATTTACAGTGATAAATTTAATAGAGAGCATTACATGTTTACAAGATATGTAAATGAACTATCTTTATACAAATTAATATCCTCAAGAGTAAGCAATGCAGCAGTTTAATGTCTCCTTCATTCCTCTGTGCTGCTGGAGCACCGATCCATCTCAGCCACCAGCAAAAGGTGATAAATCCTCAAAATTTATAAACGAGAGCCTTCACCCATGAATCGATCAGAGCAGATGATAATATTGTTTTACCAAGGTGTCATGGATTCAGCAAAATGACTACACAGCAAAGTCAATGAGGGATTGCAGCACGTGCTGCCTTAGCCTCCAGCTAGTCCTGGCTAACAAAGGTTGGGAAGTGCAGTTAAAGCAGCTCTCAGGAGCACTTTGCATGGGGCCTGTGGCACCAGGGTTTGCAGAGATGTGCAGCTCACCAGTGGATGTTGTGCTAAAGCACTTTCTCCTCTATGTTCTTTTTTTTATTAGCTCTACACTGACATATGCTACAATTATATTTTTATGCAACAAAGCTCATTGGAATTTTTCCTCTCTGCCTTCACTGAATAATCAGCAGGTCGTTGTAGCACAAACATCCAACCCTCAGCCCTGTGGGAGGGTCAGAAGGCTGCTCCTTTCCATTACACATGGAGCTTCCCTGTTTCCATTTTATGGACAGTTATAATTGGAGGGGGCTGTGGAGTTTATGTCAGGATTTGCATGGGGTTGAATATGGAGAAAATACTAATTATTTCCAAGTAATTTAGAGGAGAAGACATCAGTCTGCCTCTCTTCCCCATTCTCCATCTGGAGACGGTTTCCAGACATGTGGTACCATATAATTCCTGTTTCCCTTTCTCTCTTTGTGAACACTTTTCCGCTAAAGGAGACAACTGTGCAGCCTGGGCCTTCATAGTGGTGACCACACTGGAATCCTGAGCTGTTCCCAGTGCTGGCCATGCTGGGGAAGGCTGACAGAGCCTCTCTTGCTCTCCTCATTTGCTTGTTGCACACCCTGACAGATTCCTGGCTGCAGGTGAATCAATCCAATCAAGTGTTGGAGCTGCTGGGAGCTCCCAGCCAGCAGTCTGCATCCCTGTTGGGGATGAGGGAAGGGGATGGGAAGAGGATTTTCCTGCTGATTACCCTTGGAGAGGGGCTGGAGAAGGCAACTCAGGGAGAGACTGGGCAGATGAGGCACCTCAGGGAAGACATGGCAGGAGCTCCCAGGGCTTGTCCTTGAGCAAAAGGAGTGTGGACTCAGGAGATCTGTACTTGCAGAAAAGTGAAAGAGATTTGGACTCCAAAGAGAGATGTAATTTGGAAGGGAGACAGTAAAAAAATAAGGCAGAATCAGTTGGGAGAAGTAGAAAAGAAGTGAGGGAGGGTCACATCTGGACCTGCATCCAAGCAAAACCTTGGGAATAGTTCACCTTCCCCATCCCAGAGCAGGGAAGTGAAAGACACTGAGGGGAGAGGCAGGAGAGCAGAAATTCCAGTATGTGAATGGATGAACAAGAACAAATTGAAAAGGTAAACAGGCAGTTAGGAAAGCTCTGCTGCAGCAGGGTAAAACTGGATTAGCCTAGAAATTCCCACCTTTCCAATGGGTTCCTGGAAGGTTAAACATGTTCATCTCTCAGCCTTTAATCCCCTTTCCACAGGGGTAGGGAATCCTTAGGCCTGTTGTATCTGGCTGCAGTTCTGCTTGGGCTGGGCAGCCCTGGTTTGTACTGGCTATACTGGCTTGTCCTGAGCACACACCTGCCCTCACCTGCCTGGGGATACACTGATTTCAGTGAGGGACAAGGTCTTTAAAGTCTGAATGGCTTTCCTTGGTTTTGTGTTCACACCACAGGGACAATGGGACAGACCAGGCAGCTCCAGTTTAGCTCAGTCTGTTTTACCCTCTGCATCTCCTGCAGCTGTTGCAGCATCACAGCAAAAAGGAGAGCAGGAGAATCTGCTGCACAACAAACACTGCTTGCTTTAACATTTTACAAGGCATTGAAAAAGATCTTCTTAATAATGACAGATACTCTGAATAACAGCAATAAAGACATAAATACATTTTACCTACTATCATCTTAAAATTGTCAATAAGTACTCTGTAATGCTACAGTTCATAATCTGTACAGAAGATAATAATACAGCCTTAGATAAATATCTGTGGAGATGAAATGGTCATAAAGGTCTGTGTGAGTGTAATTGCCACACTTTTGTTCCCTACCTGTTTTCCAAGAGTGGCACTGCACTAAATCTCTAGGAAATTGGCAGCACTGTTAATAACTGCAGGATGCTTTGTGCTCCCTGAAATGACTGGATCTGTCATGGAAATGTGTGTTTTACAAACTGGAAAGGAATAATAGCAGAGGCACAGTTAGAAGCTGAGAATGGAGTGTTTCAGAATTCAGTGGCTCACAGGAAAACTGAACATGCTGGTTTAGCTTTGTTTTCCATATTGCCCTTAAATCGAAAGATTGAATCTTAACAGAATAAATCTCACATTTATTAGAACTGTATGGGCAGATTTACTCTCCTGTTGTTGTGTTTGTACTTGTATCTCTTATCTCCAGGTCAGTGCGTTTTGGATGGCTTTTCATATTTGTCTGTGCTACATAAACGTGATCACTGTTTCAAAACAAAGAGAACAGCCTAAAAAACTTAGCAGCATTATTCCTTAAAAAAAGAAAATTGTGGGGAAAAATGTAGGAGCATGTACTAAGTTCATCTGTTAAGCAGGCTGTCTTCTGTTTAATATTTTGTGAAATTGCTTCCATTAATTCTACAGGTGACAGCCATATTATCCTATCCCAACCCAAATAATTATGGTACATATTAAAGTTCAGTGGATATTGTAATACGAATCTCCCCAGATAGGCAGAAAGCAATGTAAATTAAACAAGAAACATAACTAGGGCTTAGCAGCTCATTTTGTAATTTAATTGAACAATGTATCTGGTTGTTAATGGTGCTATGGACACATTAGATTGATATGTTGCAAAGGAAAGATGTTTAAGTAGAAAGCTAATTCCTGCTGTGATTATTCTCATGTTCCAGAGGAGTCATTATTAGTATTCTTTGTATAAAATTCATTAGCGGTAGCTGCTTGATCTCCAAATAAATAAGTTGGTTAAATTGTTAGTAGAAAAAGGCTAATTATGTAAATGGATTAGGTCGTCAATATTTCATTTCCAGATGCTTTTCTCCCTGCTAGGTAATGCTTCATCTCCTATAAATACAGAATGATACAGTGCACTATTGACTAAGAATTCACCCCGTGGAGCTCAGAGCTCTCCTGCTCACTCAGGGTCTGTGCAGCAGTGGGACATGAGGAGCTTCATTGTTCCTTCTTGCATTTCATTTGCTGGGAGTGTTCCAGCCCCACTGTTCCCATTCTTTTCTGGCTCTTTCCTTTGCAGCTGAACCCCCTGAGAGCAGCAGGGCTCTCTTTGGTGCCTCTCCAGACTCGTTCCCTCTTTGTCCCAAACTCCTCTCACTTTGGGTCTCGTATGAACTCCTCACTTGGGATTTGCAACCAGCAACGGCTTTGGTGCCTGCTGGAATTAAATCACCAGCCAGGCCCTTTGCTGTTCATTTATTTTTAGTAAAACGTGATAATCTGAAGCTGCAAAAGTAATGCCCTTCTTATATACTGCTTGTGTTCATTGCAGTTTTGCCTGGCTTGCATCACACATTAATCTTTTATTACTGATCATTATATTAACTCTCACCTGCCAGCTGTGAAATGACCTGCAGAAAGACATTTAACAATTGCCTCCATCCACTGAGTTTACAGTATACACTTTAATCAATGCTCAAGCTTAAATTAATGCTGATAGGCAATTTCCAATGCCTGGCAACCATGTGATAAGGGAATTGGGCTTTTCTGGGCTTCTTTTTTCTGTTTTTATTAACTGAAAAGGCCTATCTGTATTTCACGGTGGATCATGTAAACTGTGGTACTGACTCCTTGCAGAATTTTGAAACCACTGAATTATGTCAAGCACACAATCAGTTGCTTTCTTCAGGACCTTAGCCGAGCTTTTCCACATAGGAAATAATCTGAACTCTTAAATTGGTTGTATAGGACAAGGAAGCAGACTTTTTGGCAGATCTCGGAACGTATCCAAGTAGGGAGATATTTTTAACAGTGCATTGAAGGTGCAATTTAAAGCAATCTGTGTAAAGTGTTTGCAGGTTCCAATTTTATGTGCATCAAATATTAAAAATGTTGGCAATTTTTAAGAAGATTCTCCACTAAGGAGCATGAAAGTGATTTTTATTGAGATTTTATACTACTGAGCTACCCTGGAGTAGGAGAAGAAAAGCAAATTTAAGCTTCTAGTTACTCAGAACACACACAAAACACAAAGGGGTTTCTTTTCTCCTTGTTGGTATAAAACTGGTGCAATGGCAGCCAAGAGGGTGAGTAAAACTAGAACATTGCTGGAGAATGTTTTGCTCAATATTGCTAAATACACTTTCCCTTTTAACCTTCCTCATCACTGGGAGGTCCACATGCTCGCAAGGGATGTGCACAGTCCTCCTGCAATAAAGAAAAGTCAAACAGATGAGGGGTTTTATAATAAAATATTTTATTACCTATCAGTTTCTTACAATTGATGAACACAATTGTCAAGGTCCAGGAAAGAAGACTGCATTTTGTGAATGAAGGTGATATGAACTAATTCAAATTTAGCAGGGTATAATTGGGCATGGATGAATGCAGTTTCTCTTAGCAGCAATTTGCATGCCCAAGATATCCCATCGCTCCGGTGATACCATCAGTTCAATATGTTGCTTAAATAAATGAGGGATGATTGCTCTGGTTTGTATTTAATTCATTAACTAAAAGGTTTCTGTGTAAAAGCAATGTCCTGCTGAGGTTGTGGCTGTGACTGGATCCCATGTCCCATCCCATGGCAGGTGTCAGGAGGAGTGTCCCATCGGCACCTACGGCTTCCAGTGCACACAGACCTGTGACTGCCAGAACGGGGCCAAGTGCTACCACGTCAACGGAGCCTGCATCTGTGACCCCGGCTTCAAAGGCATCCACTGCCAGGAAAGAATGTGTCCTGAAGGCTTTTATGGCCTCAAATGCAACAAGAGATGCCCTTGCAATATTACCAACACCCTCAGGTATGTACGTCATGTAATATTCTTGTGCAGGGACTGGTCCCATAAAAGCACTGGGAAAATATTCACCTAACTACACCAACTGTCCTTTTCTCTGTAGCTTTAAGAACAAACACAGAGAGTTTATCTGGTTTGCAAAATTTTGATTTAGATGACCTCAGGTTGGGAACCATAAGCCTCAGTCCAGCCAGATACTAAGCATGTATCTGTTAACAGTTCTGGTAACAACTGGAAAAGCCTGACATACAGCTTTGTCCTGTAAATCTTCTGGGCATGAGAACCACGGGATGATGCTCCTATGTGTGGATAATAACCCACTGAAATTAAAAAAAAAAATACATATTTACTCAAATCCATTACTTTCCCTCTTTTTTATGACATGGGTTTGCTTGTTAGATCTATAGACAGCAAGGGGACTTTCAACATGAAACCTAATTTGCTTCAGCTGATGTCTCATGGCAAATTACCTTGTTGGAAACACTTGAGACAGATGTATAAATAGACTGAAATCAATATCCCTGAGTCAGTCTGTGGAACTGTAACACAGTTGACATTGTCAAAATAGACTCCTCACGTGAGCCTATTTTTTCTCTTCTTTCTCTTTGTGTATGAGGAAAATATTCAGGAAAATAAATATCAGGGAATTATACCTACAATGGAATAAGCCTCACTTAAAAGGTCAGGGTTTGATGTTTTATTCCCTTTTTTGCTTTTTTAAAGATCTGATTCTTGAGGTTCTCTTTACTATGGAACAGATCCACAAACAGACTTGAGTACTTTGAATTTACTTTCCCATTGCAGATTTGAATAAGTTTTCCAAACATTGTAAAGAAGGAAGAATTTAAGACTCTTCCCTATTATCCTCTTTGTTACCTTAAGTAACTCCTTGCCTTGTTTACTGACTACTGGAATTGCTGTTTGGAGAATCCTCACTCCCTGGTTTGCAGTAAAGGGAGCCTGGAGGGCCAAACCCCGCTGGCCTGAGCTGTGTGATGGACAGGAGCCACATTTCCTCACCTGCACAATGCTGAGCCCTTCAGCTCTCACTGGATTCCCTCCTCTCTCTGCCCATTCCTGTTCATCAGGCAGGGCCAGTTTAGGGTTGTGGAGGTTTCAGGGGGAGGTGGAGATAATTGATGCCCAGGCAAAAATGCCCTTGATACAGACATTCTTCAATTTGGAAGCAGACAGGTGGGGACCTGACTGTCCTGCTGATGCTGACAAAGCCACCTTGCCATCTTGCTGCTGCAAAAATATCAACACACTCAATTATGTATGCAAGAAATGGCACCTCATTTGTGTGCACTCACAGACACACACACACAAACACTTCAGGCAAATCTGTCTGTGCACTTGAGATAGACCCTATTTGTCTCAGTCTTGGAAATAAACAGGTGATTTTCCTTGTGAATTCAACAGTGAGTGGTGAGGCTTTGCTTAACTGAAAGTCAGAGCTCACAATGGATTATTTAAAAACTTGTAATTGTTGTGATACAACTCCTGTGCAGGAAGAGAGCTCGAGCTCAGCTGGGTTTGACAGCCAGGATCCAAAACGTTTGAGGCTCCCAGGGAGCTCTGTACAAGGGTCTCCCATCGCTTCTGATTATGTTGTGTATCATGAAATCACTGCAAAAATACCATCCCTGAGGCATGAGCTGCACATTATACACAAAAGGTTAGTGCTGTGTTGTGCTGAGCATGGGGGATGCCTCAGGAATTACTGCAGAGTGAGCTGAGGGATAAATTCCTGCGTGTCACATCACTGCAGCACCTGTGGTAAATCCAAGCTGAATTTCTCCTCAGTGTAAACTGTTCTTCAGGTGTACAGGAGAGTGAGAATGTGCTCATGGTCAGCAGCTGACACTTGTGTCTTCACCCCTCCTGAGCCTGCAGAAACCTGGTTGTTTCCATAAAGGTAGAAATAGAGTGGAAGGACTGCAGGCCACTGGCAAGGCTGAGTTTGGCTGCAGTTCCTCTGCTGCGTGCTCAGTTCATGAAGAGTCTTTTAGGTGATGTAAGACTGTGGGTTGGAGGGTGAAAGAATTCACCCTGTGTTACTCAGAACTGCCTGGGAGGTGCTCTGCGGGTTTGCTAGAGGATCTTTCCTGAAAGAACAGACTTGCACCTTCCAGCTGTGAGAAAAGAAGTGGTCTCAGAGAGGTTTGAGAGAGCTCAGAAATGGGGAGGATTGAATCCTCTCCCAGCTCTTTTCTGGGCATGTGGTCATTCCTACACACCCTGCCTGTGCCTGGTTGCTGTCTGACGGGAACATTTTATTCCTTCCCTCCCAACACTGCTCCGTCAGCGTCCCTTGCAGCATTCTCTGCTGAGATGGTATCTCTGGTTCCTTAATAAATGAGTCTGGTCTCTCTGTTGATAAAATCTCCCTTTTTCCTACATCTTATCACTGCTGTTATGGAACAAAGAGATACCAGCAAGCTGTAGATCAGTAAATGTTCTTTCATTCTTCCATAGGATTTCAGCTCTCCACTTTTCCAGCAGCTCTGCAGTGTTGTCAATTGCTGAGCCAAGGAGCGTCAGAGCTGATGGAAAGTGACCTTTTCCAAAGGCACTCCATATTCTGAACAAATCTTTGTGCTGATTGTTTAACCAGTCCCATACAGTGCACTTCTCTTCCCACCCACCTCTTCCCATTCCTCCCTGAGTGTTTGTCCTTTCTGAAACTGGGCTCTTCCAAAGTGACTCATTTACCCACAGCCATCTATTTTCCCCAGGAGCAGTTTAAGCTGTTGACTACTTTTGATCCCAAGTGTGGAGGATAATTACTAAACACTTGTAGAAGGTGAATGAAACTCCTTTCTCTGGATTTGTCTCATTTGATCTGGTTGCTGGAGAGTTGACTGGAATGGAAAGTTCTGAGGGCTTTGAGGAGTAGCTGAGGAGGAACAGCAGGAAATACACAATCAGCTTTTCCATTTCCATACATCTATCTATTTTAATGTCTGAAGACATCAGAGTGATCATCTAGTCTAACCTCCAGCATGGTAATGACTGAAGGACATCATCCAATAATTTCTGCATCAAAGCACACTGAAAGGCACTTTGTACAGGACTTTGAACAACCCCACAATTAGGTGATTTAGAATGTGGTGGTGACTTGGACTGTCCTTCCACAGGAAAGGCTACACCTGCAAAAAAACTTCCCTCAGCAAAAAGTCCATATTGAGACAGCCTACAATGGCTGGAAGGGAATAATCCTGGCTTGTTCTTCTGTCTGGCAGCGAGGGAAATGAACAGCCGGAATATTCCTGGCCTCCCACCCTTCCTGAGCACCGGTGTGGAGCCAGCCTGGGGCACCAGGTGCCCTTGGTCATGTCTTAGGTCAGAGATGTGAGAAGGAAGGAAGCCACTGAGACAAAGTCCAATGGAATAGGAAGATCTCCACAGTCTCCAGTTAGTGCCTCAACACCAGCAAGTTGGGGAGGACCAAACCCCGTGGAGCTTCCATGAAGTTCTGCCTTGATCTGAGTCAGTAATGTGCTGGGCTGAAGGAGTGGCCCTGCAGTCTCACTGTGGGCTCACTGCATTTTAGTAAGGGAGACTGGATGTAGTGTGGACAACATAAAACAGAAATACTGTAAAATAAGGATTAGGCTGCTGATAATGAAAATGAGATGACTGGTGCTGCTGTATAAACAGAAAATCGGGAAATTCACTGGGAAGGTGTTGCTTTGGCTGAAAGATGTGTGGAGAAGAAATTCAGAATTTGGAACAGACTGTTCTGTCTAAAACACTTCTAATTTGCCTTGAGAAGTTTACCTGGTTTCCTCAGTTTTCCTCAAAATTAGATGTTTAAAAAATTTAAAGGTCAAAATGCCTTTATTCTTTTCAATTCATCTGATAAAATTTTTAAAAATAAATCTTTTATTGCTGTAAACGTGGCTCAAAAGCCAGGGATTGTACAGTAGCTTTCAAAGTACAGCAGGAGCCCTGGAACTCTTTCCTTGTCAGCCCTGATGTGTGGACAGCTCTGCTCCACCTCTGCTTGGCCTGGAGCCACAGGAACACTTGGCTGCCTGTGTTCACTCCTGGTTTCTACTCTGCTTCTTCCTGTGATGCTGGAGAGTTGAAGAAATAAAAGTTGTTAAGATTCAATACAAACTACAAAGGATAACACTGCCAAATTCTTCAAAGAGTGTGAGGTTCCCTTGCTGCTCCCAGCAAGGGTTGGAAAACAGATGTTGGTGGGTTTGCCTTTGGGATCCTTTTGGAACCCTCCCATTCTCTCACTCATCCTTCAGTGATCCTTCTGCAGAAGAATTGTTTGTATTCATTAATTTCAGTTTATTGGGAGCTGGAGAAATGCCTCACATGCACTGTGACCCCTGCTGGCAAAATGTTACATGGACACATGGCCTGGGAAGGTGCACTCAGAACCAGAGGGGAGGAATTATACAGATATTTAGAAGAATTTCTAGCTGTATTTTCTATTCAAGCTTTATTCTGCCTCAAACGTTTCAGCTTCAGTCCAAATAGCATTTAATTCTCTGGGCAGTCTGGATGCATGGATGTTGGGGTGGGTGAGAGGTGAATTTCCTGGCTCTGTTCTATGTCTAGGTACATACTTTGACCAGAATGTGGTTGTACAAAACTCCAGCAGAAGAGAAATTTTCCTAATACACACATCCACTATTCCTACATCATGAGCTGCAATATATTTAATGTGTAACTCTGTTCACTTTAATTAGTGGAATAGTTCATACAAACCAGAGAGAAAAAATAATTAATATAAAACTTCTGTACTATTTGGTGATACCAGCTGCAGAGCTTGAAAGGGTTTCCAAGGAAAGGAAGGCATCATTTAGAAATGGGAAAAATGAAGGTAGAAGAGTCAGTTAGGTGGCCAAGATTCCCTGGCAGGATTGGGAAGAGAACAGCTGCCTTACGCATTTTGGGAAAGCATCGAAATCTCAGCCCTCCTCAAGTCAATGCTGCATCAGGCACCTGGATTGTCAAACAAGTGCTTTGGAGTTGGGAGAAAAACAGAATCCTGATCTGCTCAGGCTGATAACAAAATTATCCTTTCTTCAATGGGAAGATTCCATGGATGGAGGGACCCAAACATCTGCCTGGGGTTGTCCTGGCTCACAGTCCCATGGAACGTGGACAAGGCTTTGGTGAGGCAGAATACACCCTCAAGCTTCTACTGGCCTTTGTTTTGGAGTGCAAGTTTCCTGTCTCCAGCAGATTCTTCTGGAAAAGCCTGTTTGGTTTTGGTTCTTGTTTTAGTGCATGTCAGGATGAGTTTTAGCCCTTTAAACACAGCTTGTATCCCATGCTGATGAGGGAGCCAACCTCGAAGTAAAAATTCTGAGTGAGTGTAGTATTTTCTGCTGAATTGTCATAGACTGATTCAAACTGCCCTGGTCATACATTACCTTTGAAATATTTCATTTACCCATCAGATGTAGTTCTCATGGAAGCACATGATACATGTAGCAGTAGTGGAAAGAGAAAAACACTAAATTCATTTCAAAATCCTTCTTTAATGTTGAGCTTTCTGCTCCTATTAGGTAATGATTAATAGACACAGGGGGGAAACCTGAGCTTTTAATATTTTCATCTGAATGTTAAGAGGTGCTTTGTGGAAGACCATAATTTCAGGGACTACTTTGTCACGGATGGGAGTTTGTTATGCTGATGAATTGTTTTAATTAGTCAGTAAAACACTATTTATGATGAAACATTTGACACTTAGAAAATTTGATCCTTTTTAGTAGCAATACTATATGACCAACCTCTCCTACCAGAAATTTCCTGAAACATAGCTGGAAATTACATTTTATGAGGTTACCTTGAAAATTAACATATACAATATTAATTTTATAGGTGTAAAGAAACCCATTCAGTCATGTCTACAATCTTAAACTGTAGCAATAAATAATCATAAAGGAAAAGTAATTGTTTCTGGGATGCAAAAAACCAGGAGACAGCCTGGAAAGATCCCACCTTGCAGAAGGCTATTCTTCTTGTTCTGAGAGTAAAGAAAACAGGATTTCTGGCAATATTATTTCTCATCTCTCTCACTGAGGACTGAACAGTGCCATCACTGTGCAGCGCTGTGCTGCAGAGGGCACAGAGCACGCTGAGCTCTCAGGTGCAGCCTCACACTCCCAGCTGGCCTCAGCCAGCCTCCATCCCTGCAAACCAGGAGCTTCTCCAGCCTTCCTTCCCCTCCTCTCCCAGCCCCAGCCTCCTGCTGTGGGAAGGTGGTGCCCTAAGGAAACCTCAAGGAGGAAGATGCCCAGTAAAGATAAACTGTTTCATGCAGGAGGAACAGAGGGGTGAGTGCTGCACCTATGACCTATGGATGCAGAAGGACCAGGCATTGTCCAGTCTTTTGGGCTCAATTCTCCTTTCTCCTTTTCTCTCCATGTGCTCTCACAGTAGTGTGGAATTGACTGAATAGAAACAAAAGCCAGAGGATTAATGTTCATTATGCAGTAAAAAGAAACTTGACTCATTTCCCTGCACAGCTGTGACTTAGTCCCAGGGCTCCTGTTAACTCCTGTCCCAAGTAAATCCCAAGGCTTCAGGTGCTGATCAGTTCTGGTCACAATGGCTGAATATTCCCTGCAAAACTCTTCTTCCAAGGACAGTTTTCCCTTCCAAAGCACTTTCCTTTCTACCTGTGCCTGCTGGAATGTTCTGCTGAGGTGGCACTCACTTTCAAAACACAAATGACAGCGGGACGGAACGGAATAGGAATAGGAATAGGAATAGGAATAGGAATAGGAATAGGAATAGGAATAGGAATAGGAATACTCAGGTTTATCTTCACTGCTCTCTTGATTGCATTCCTCCACCCACTGGAATTTCTCCTATCCCTGAATATCTTTAGCTGGCTGCATTACAGCCAAATAGTGCAGCACATACCTGTCCTACAGCTTGTAAGGATTAATGGTGTGGTTGATGCCAGTAATCCAGCCCACATTGATTTGAGAATGGAGGAGCATAAACTTCAAGGTGTAGACTACCCAGTGCTGTGGCAGTTCCCAGATGTTTGGAAATGATGGACTATTTGGCACCAGATTCTCTATTCGCTTCCCAAATTATACAGCTGCTCATACCCCCCACCCTAAAGAGTTTCCAGGCTTGGCCTGTTTTTAGTGTGACACGTGGAATGTTCTGGGCTGTGTTTTTCCTTCTTGCCCACATCTCATTAACATCTGTTTCTTCATTAGTTGCCATCCTCTGTCTGGGGAGTGCAGCTGCAAGGCTGGCTGGGCTGGGCTCTACTGCAACGAGACGTGTCCCGTGGGTTATTACGGCGAGGGCTGCCGGGTGCCCTGTCCCTGCCACAACGGGGCCGACTGTGACAGCATCACCGGGAGCTGCATCTGCGCCCCAGGCTTCATGGTGAGTGGGGCTGGGCCTGGGAGGGGCTTCAGAAAGTGGCTGCAAAAATAAAAGAGGGTTTTAATCCGATTTGAAATAATATTTGCATAAAAGCAGCCAAATGTGGATTATTTTCGCCCATTCCACATCGCTGTTCTTTGAGCAGTGTCGGTCTGTGGCTGCTGGTTGTTTGGTTAACATCACTGTTCTAAGTTTACTGCTATTGTAAAGATAAAGATATGGTTTCCCATAGTATATTCTAAGTCAAGACATAACAAAAAAGGTGTCAGATTATTGTCTGCCTGGAAGAGCAGAGAAAGAATTCTCATGGCCATTCAGCATGTTCCTTGTCAGTCACACTGTGATTTTAATAGATGAAGATATTTTAAAATGTTGCAAATGATAGAGCAATTTATGTCTTTTCTGAGCCTGTGTGGCAGGTGTCTTTTACCTGAGCATCAGAAAGAGCTTCAGACATTCTGAGGTAAACAAGCATTGCATTTTATAGGTGAGATGTAAAATGGCTGAAGAAACCAGCCAAGATGAAAACATCAAAAATTCTGAGTTAAGAGTTTATTGCCAGGCTACAGCAGAAAGTATTGGGACATGGATTCAGGTGTCCAGTCCTGCTAAGGCTGGGCAGAATGGAATTCTTGCCAGTAAATTCCCTGGTCATGTGTATATGAAACTCCTTCCCTTCAGGAGCACACCATGGAGGGGAAGTGCAGGCTGTGTTTAAAAAACAGTACTTCCTGAAGGAAAAAAATACTTTAAAGACTGAATTCCACCAAACTTCACAAAAAGTTGGCTTTCTCTGTCCTTCATTTTACATGATCTGTCCCCACAGGCCTATCTATGTTTTCTATACTATTATAACAATTATAAGTTATAATTACTATATTTACCAGAAATCAATCAGGCTACCCAGCTGGGACAGATCCATAGGGTGGAGGTCCTGTATGAGATTAGTGGCATTCCAAAGACTTTTTTGCCTCCTTTCCTTCTAATTCCACACCTGATCTGGTGATCCCCAACTGGCATCTGCAGAGCTGTGCAATTGGAGTTATGGCTTAAAGACACTTTTTTTTCTCTGCCTTGTGTCAGCAGCTGAACCTGAAAGTTGGAACTTCCACTGATTTCCAGGGGTTGTCTCAATGCCAGGTATTAACAGATTTATTTAGGTGTTAAGGGGCTGGACTCAAAAGCAGTTGTACAAGATAATGGTACTTAGAGTTGGGGAGGGAAACAAATGTCTTTGAGGTTTGATTCCCAGCTCCACAAACAGAAAACAAGAATCTATCTTCTCTATACAGTAGTTGATACACAAGTGGAGGAAGAATGAAGGCAGCAGCATGTTAGTAACAACTACAAAATAAAAAGATGCCAAGATCCTCCTTTTTATTGGGAATGCTGTCCAAATTTGCAGTACGAAAGCATTTAGGGACCCTTTACTGTACACATTTTAAAAAAGCATACCTTGTCCAATATACATTGCCCCAAGGCAGCATTAGTGCAGGCAGAAAGCCTGGGAAGTTCCTATTGCATTGCTTCAAAATAATATTTAATCTCATAATAAAGAGCTTTCTTGCATTGACATTTAAACAGCTTGGTTATTGAGGATAGCTCTATAATCACTGAAGCATATTTAGGCATTAGTATCATTGCTCTCACATAATATACTATAATCTCTGGCAATTAGTCCATGAGGGGAAGTAAAGCCTTGAAATTGCTAATTTATTGCCTCTGAAGCATATTTGTCATTCGTGTGCATGCCAGATGAGCTGCAATGGTTCTTTCAAGTGCTGCAGAACACAGGCTGTGCAGAAAAGTTGCTGGGAACCTTTTCCTCCCCCCTGGGGCGTTGTCCTGGCAGGATGCTCCGGGCAGGGAGGAGGGGAGCTGGAAAAGGCTGTGGGGCCAGAAGCAGGCTGGAAGTGCCTTATCCCAATGATATGCTTCAAGCCAGGCTGTCCCTTCAGATATTCCTGCCTGGCTCCTGCTGAGGAAGCAGGGGAGCTTTGCCTGGGGGTAGAGCTTTGCCCTTGAGTTGGGCGAGTCCGCGAGCGCCGGTTCCGAGCTCAGGATGTGTCCTCTGGCAGAGCTGGCAGTGGAGCGGTGCTAACGCAGAGCTGGGCAGAGCTAATTATTCACAAAAACCATAAATGAATCCCTCTTGCTTTTTCAAGCATGAGGCTTGGCTGAGGCAGCCACACGGGCAGGAATTTTGCCACATAATTGGGAAGGATAAAACCAGGAGCAACATCTTACATTTTACAGCAATGTTTGATCTACACGTGATCCTAGGGCAGAGCAGTCTGAGGGGCTTCTCAGGAAGGGGGAAGGAAGAGAAAATGGTGGGAGGTGGGATAGAACTGCAGAATTTATCTGCAAAGGCAGAGAGGTTGGACCCACAGGACTTTGGGATTACAATTGCCTGGAATATGCGGTGCCCAAGGAAGGACAATGTTTTCCTGACAAAGCACTCCTCCTGCCCACTCCTCCAGCACAGATGGTGGGTTTTTAACTCACCCTCCCAGCCAAAACAGGGACATTTTGTTGGGATGCAGAACAAGCCATTAAAAACACAAAGCATCTGGTCACCTTTATTAAATGTATTAAGTGAAAAGGCAGCCATCCCATAGGCTGCCATGTACGTGAGCGGAGCACTTAATTTTTGGAAATTTAAGAAGACTTGAGTTGTAAAATAAAAATGTATACGATAGCTTAAAGAAAATACATTATTTATTAGCTGTGACATTTCCAAAAATTAAAATGCCCAAGCTAAATAGTGGTGAGCTTGCAGTTTAGGATAGAATTTCAAAACATCTTCTGTCTTATTTTTTCTGCGCATGTTTTGGGTCAGACTCAAGAGCCAGATTTGCATATGTCTGGCTCTAAACCCAAATGACAAAGCTGTTGTTGGGGAGCAGGGTATTTGTGTGAGGTGCTGCTGTGACTGTGATCCCATGAAAGGAAAGTTCTGTTTTACCTCTGCGGGTTCTGAACCACCGTGCAGAGCTGAGGGATCCACAACCCAAACCAGGCAGTTCTTGGAGGCAGCATACAGGGCAATGAAAACAGGATGATGGTGGAGGAGACACAATAAAATCCTCCCCAAAATCACAGACCTACTCCCCATTCTCCACAGGCCTGTTGGGAATGCTTTGCTTCCTGCATCCCACTTGTAAGGGAGGATAAAGGCAGTATCAGTTTAACTCAGATGATTGCAGGGAATCATCATTACAAGCACGCCAAGAGGGCATTTCCCTCCAACTGGGACTTTTAACATATTTGAGGGTTTCCTCTTAGCACTGAAGTGATGAATTGCCAGAATGCTCTTCTGAAGAATGGTTTTGTAAAGCTGTTCTGCTGCCATCTCTTTTGTGACCAGGAGGAACCTGGCAAACACACACAGGGAGTGCACAGATCAGCCCTAAAAAGCACCAGGGGAGAGTCTTGACTGGTAGAAATTGGATCCTCCCTCCTGTGTGGAAATGGCTGCTGCTTGCAATAAATTATCTGGATGCAATTATGGGGATGGTGAGAGGGGTTATACTAAATTGTACCTCCCCCTCCTTCCAAATTCTGCTCCAACATGTTCTCCTGTAAGTCCACTGAACTCAGGTGTGCAGGAGGGACGTAAAAGAAAGCGGGACTTGCCATGTCCTCTCTCCTCTCTTTTGTTTTTGGTTCATTGAATTTTATTCCTGTAATTCAATAAACGTGGTGGAGAAGGCCAGAGGATATGAATTAAATATGACAGGAGACCACAGGAATCCTGACCTCGTGTCTCACAAGAAAATCTTGAAACCAACCCCCTGCACATACCTATCAGCATTTTAGCTGCTGAAATCATTATAAATGCTATTGAGATACAGCTAAGTTCACCTTCTCGATTGCACAGCTAATTGCAGCTTCCCTGAAAGCAGTGGCTATCTAGAGACCTCATCCTGTGCTATGCCTTTGTTTCTTTATGGATGCTTTGTTTTCTTCTTTTGAAAAATGGGTTTAACTTCAAACACTTCCATTCTGTGTGTTGTGGCAAGGAGAGATGTAGTTAAAACATTTCTCAGCCCAAGACACTCTGAGAAAACTTTTAACACTTCTCTGTGGAACGTGCGGTCAGCTTGTACTTCAGCGGGCACTTAGGTCTATATTTCACATCCAGATGACAGAACTTATATTACTTTAAAGAGTTCATCTATTTATGCTGCTATTTTTTGAAGACCTGTCTGCTTTTATTGAACCCTGCGTGCTGGCAAGCAGAGCAAGCACTTCATCACCAAAATGAAAGAATCCATTCTGACATTTCTCTATTTCTTCACTATATTGGTAGATCCCACACGAGCCAATCACACGCTGCAAAGTAAGGAAACTACAACAGTGGTGATCTCTTACTAGAAGATTTTTCAGCTTTTGGAATGGCTCTTGGACTCCCTAAAGCTTTCCAAGATTTATCCCAGGGTTGTGCATCTATAGCTATTTGCATCTTCTGTTGGCTTTGTATCAAAATTGCATTTTAAAAGCACAATTAATGCCTTTCAAATACATCCTTAAAGAGGTGCTTATGTGTATGGGTCTCTGGCTGGGCTCAGTGGGAATCTGGGCACTTAAGCACTGAAACACAGGCTTCATTTGGGTCTGTAAGTCCATAATTTTGTCTGGCATGCCTGAATTTCTCAACATAATGCTTTCTCTACCACAGGGGTACAAATTGCTCCCAGGGTTTACATCAGAGTAAAACTTTACAACCTACCTGCACATTGAGTAAAAGTCAGCCCTCGTAGCACACAATGAACAGTAGCTCGAGCACTTAGTAAAAATAAGTATAAATTATAGTGCTCTAAAGCTATTCAAATGCACAGCAAATGCACACCAAATTTTGCAATGGATAATCTCTTGGTCAGTACAAACACCCACACAAAGACCAGTCTTAGCCTGCTCTGTACCTACTCACTGAGTAAAATGACCAATTTACTGTTCCATAGAATGAGAAGGACCATGATTATGGTCCTTTAGAG